TCAGCGCAGGCAAGGAGGCTGGGAGAGGGGGCTGCAGTCCGGCCCCTGCCAGGCGCCCACCGGGGGGCCTCCGGTCTCACGGGAGGGGCTACCGCCACCCTCGACGTCGTTTTGCACAGGTAACGTCTGAAAAACGTACAGGATTCGCAAGTCCCACGTGTTAGGTTTTATACACACAGTCTGAAACAGCCAGGTTCAGTTTCTATAACTGGTTTCCACCTTCTCATGCTAAACAGGGATGAAAACAGCAGTTGGTGATAGCTCAACTTCTTTTTTAATAGATAGCTAGGTACAGAGTCTGCTCCTAATTTTCAATTCATGTTAGCATGGGACTGCACTGAAAAGTTTTAAGCTGCCATCAGTTAAATAAACCATAAAGGTGCTAAAGAACAAGGGGAATGTGTACACCTAAACCGTGGCTGATGTGTTGCTTGTCCAACCTGCCAAGGCAGGCACAAATCATGTATGAACAATGACAGAAGGAGGCATAAAAAAACCCTATGCTTTTACTAGATTAAGCATGATTTTAGCTAAGAGAAAACCAGAAGTTCCAGGCAGGCTATTAAGAGAAAAATAAGATGTTTCAACTGATTGCAAAGCTATTACCCAGAGGTGACCAGCTGGACCGTGGCAGAATGTAAGCGTGGACAGGTAGCTCCACAGCACAGGTACTGCATTGCTCAGGATAGAGACTCCCAAAAATTTTAAAAGGGAGAGGCAGTCTCCTCAAAGGCACAATAAAAACGTTAATTATAACGATGCAGTCCTCTCTAGTATTACTTTAAAAGTAAGACTTTTTGGTAGAGTTCACCAGGACAAATCTTGGAAACAGATTAAACAGTCCCACTTTAAAATAATGAAAACGCTTTCTCTCCAGGCCCACCTGATTGTGATAACACTTCAGATGGGAGGTTTTAATGAAGAAATGGCATCTGGCATGGGATGCTTCTGACCAGAGTGAAACAAACATTATTTTAATACTATTCTTCCCCCCCCTCTCCATTTTTACTACAGAAAGGTTGTCCGGCTCCATTGTGACATAAATGTAGCATTTTGCATTGCACAGAAAAGGAAGTGACCCATTAGGCCAATGAAATCCAAACATGAACACAATTTAAAAGTTCAATGCTTTTGTTTCCTCTGGCACCAGAAGGGGAGAAGTAAGCATGTAAACAGTTACATCACGTTGCCTAAAAAGTGCTCCCCTACAAGAGAAATACATATCATGCATACTTCTGGCTTACCAGCACATGCAAAAAGAAAAGTCACACCACTCTCGCAAGGTACATATGCTTACCTAAACCTAGGAGAAAGAAAAATGAGTAAGAGGTTATTTAGCAGAGAATGATGCCCCATGAAAATACATTAAAACAAAGTGTATGCTACTTTCAAAAGCCAATACACATCATAAGCATCTCTTTTATTTGTTGTAATATAAAGAAGCATACATCATTCAGTTCTTTGAAGTACAACTCAAATTGTACACTAACAAAAAAGATCAATTCAGACACCCATGAACTTGTCACAACAGGATTCATTACATTTTGCTCTGCTGGTATTGCACTTGGAATGGTTTTGAAGTAAGGCACAGTAAAAACAAAGTCATTTAGTGCTTCTACAGCAGATGTCTTTTTTTTTAAACACATGCTACATGACGTAAAAGTACTTCTTCTAGCTTATGTATATACACACACAGGGAAAAAGAAAAAAGCATGCACTAGAGGATTTAGATTTCAACATATCTTGTTGTTTCATAATATACAAATAAAGTAGTTTAAAGATGTAAACAAATTGCATGCACATAAACTAGAGCAAAATCTTTAATACAGTATCTGAAAGCTGTTATGCTTAAATAAAAAAATATAACTTATTAGTACTCAGGTTTATGTGCCATTTTTGTCCTGTAGAGATTAAAAGTTTGGGGCTGGGGGCAGAGAGTTATGGGTGGGCAGGGAGGATTTTCCTGGTTTTCCCGTTGTTTTTATTTTTTTGCTTTACACACTGGCAGCAGTACATTGGTAAGAAAGACAAATATGGCTTTTGCAAAACAATGTATAATGAAAACATGAGAAAGCACAATTGCATTTGGGGTCCAGCATCCTGGTATTTTCCAGTCAAGAACAAAACAAAACAAAAAAAATCAATATGATCTACGCTTTGAACTGGGAAAGCTATGCATTCCAAAAGACCTTCCTAAAGACATTTAAACTCTACAAAAAACAGACACTTTGTCAAGTATAAACTCTTAAAAACTAAACACAGAAGAATCTGAATGACTCAAGCTTCGCTTTCCACTTCAAATGCTACTGAACAGGTTTCTCCCATGGCTGCGATAGCTGAAGTGCTATTAGATTGTCTTCAGGATTAACTAGATGCCAGAAGCAGGTTTGCTTATCTTTAAACAAGTACATTAGAAATTAAGTAAATTAACTGCATAATTTTTGGTTTCACTTTGTCTTTGGCATAGGATACGCCATTTTTCAAATTAAATACAGGACACATACCACTCTACATTCCAACAGATTATGCTGAAAAGGCACATTTACTGCTGCCTGGGTGGCAAGGGAAGACTTCTTATTTTGCAAAAGGCACGGTGTTTAGTGCGACATTCTTTCCCCATCCCCCAAAGAGTGTTTAGTTAGACCAGGTACAGTTCTACATAGCGGCTTCCCAGGAGCTGTCCGTTTTTCTCAGCCACTGCTTTCTTAGCTAGATCCAGGCTTGGAAAAGTCACCAATGCCTCTCCACTGGGCTGGCCACTAAAGTTGTAAAGCACGAGGATGGAATCTGCGTGGAGCTGCAACGGTACAAGAAGACAAAAGGAAAAAACCTATTAAGATCAGAGGCCACACCTGGAAGTACAGTTTTTAATGCTGTGCATCCAGTTCACTCCGCTCCTGTGTCTGTGGTGAAAAAATTCTGGATGTAAGAATAGGAAGGAAGAGAAGGGACCAAAGATTAAAAGCTTGGCTTGGAGAACACTGCAGCTCTTATTCTGCTGTTGTGCTGAACAGGATGATGTAGACATAATTTCATGCAAAGATTTTGCTAGAGAAGTAATTCACATTAAAAGTTGACAAGAAAAGAAAGACTTAGATGTTAATAATGGGTAAATGGAGGAAGAAAGTCCAGGCAGTCAGTGAATAATTCTTGTACTAAGTTGTTTTTTGTTTGTTTGGGTTTTTTTTGTTCTGTTTGTTTTTTTTGTTGTTGTTGTTGGTTTTTTTTGTTTTTTTAAATTATAAAGCTGTATGAGATTTCTCTGTTGGGAGGATGAGCTGAACTTTACACAGGTATACAGAGCAAGAAAGATTGTTTGGTAAAACGAAGTAGAATTTGGTGCTGTCCAACTGAATCAAAGAAACCTTTATTGTAATTTTAACAAAGCTAAGAAAAAAGCAGGATAGTAAATGAGATTTAGTCGTTGGAGTTGATTTACTTTGGAGTGCATTTGCCCTTGTGAATTCTTGAAAGGCAGTTTCAAAATGCTGGGTTTAAAGCAGACATCTCTATCTGCCCTATGGTACCCCAGCCATTTCTCACAACATGCTGGAAGTCCTTCCAAGCTAAGTTCAGAAGCCCTATTTGTTGGATAGAAATGGATCTCAGTGAAGTTTCAAAACCAAAGGTTGAAGGATCAAAAGCTCAGCATACAAGATTAGTTTGTTGGAGAAGTCAATGCCAGACAAAACATATAGTCTCTGCTGGAAAACCAACCACTTTTATGAGCATTAGCCCAATTCAAGTTAAGCTCATGTGACGTATGTCCTCATGATTTTATAAAAGGTTAAATTATTTAAGAGTTTCACTTTTTGTAGAATTTATGCGTTCCTGGTATACTGCAAGAAATATTAGACTTCTCTGTTATTACCAGCAGCAGTTTCTGATCAGCTTTACATTCAAACATATGAAAACAAAGCAAGTACATGCCAGAGCTTCACTCATACAAACACTTAGCAGGCAGTAGAAGTATTCTTAAGATAAGTAACAGTACACATTAGAAACTAGAAGCATGTGTAAGACAGTTAGTATAGACTTCATATAATTTCTTCTCACAGAACTAAAGTTAGTGAAGAAATAGCATGCAGAAAGAAATTCAAAAGACACATAAAACATCCTGTCTGAAGCCCAGTTCAGGTTTGGAAGTAATCTTGGGTTATTTCAGGATAACACTGTGCTCAAAGAGGAAGTTGTACGTTTGGGTTGAGCGGCACATCTGAGCTAAAAGAAGGTCTGCTCTAAACCATCTCTTTGCTGTTAATCCATATGGGATCAAGTCATTTAGCGCATCAGTCCTGAATACGTTTAATATTGCAGTTCAGAGTCAGCTGAAAGCACACACGGAACACAGATATACCTCTGAGCATACAGGAGAGCTTTAAAAAGTAGTTTAAATAGCAGCCTTGGTGTAATACCAGGGTAAGGATCTGGGAATTCATGTTACAAGAGTTGCATAGAAGGTCAGCAGAGAAGTCTACACATTCTGCAAGCAATATAATTAAAAGGGTTAAATAAAACCCTTCAGTTTCATTTTAAGACACACTAGTTTTAGGGGTTTATTTATATTATTTACAGACAGAAATAGGTTTCCTTTATGTACATATAAATTTTAAAATATAGATTCAAATCCATACAAATCTTTTTTTTTTCTGGATGTTTTGTTCTACAAAGAGTGGTATCTGTATAATACTACTTTGGACTGCTTAGAATTCAGGATGAGCTACTCCATCAATTATTTTCTAGTCAAAGATTGTTTCCATCTCATACATGGTAGAACCCTGTTGCTGATCTGGTTTTCCAGTTAATTTGGGTAAAACAAGAGAACCAAATAGATTGTCCCATAAATATGGAAATGCTCGGAATAATAATGGATGTTCTTCTGTACACCACCAGACCATGCAGACTCTAATCTATCTTCTCCTTGGCAGATCTAGCAGTATCATAAGAAATCAACTAATTTGAAAACAACCGAGTTGATGGTGATTATGTGAAGGTAGCTTTATCTATGAAGGTACTTCTATCAAGGCATAGTATTTGATTGCCATTTTTTGTATTGAAAGTTTTGTGTGTTTTTTTAAGGAGAAAAAATATAGTAACTAATTAGTAGCATTTTGAATGGAATACAATAGTGTTGGGAAGTCATGAACTCCACATAGGTCACAACAAAATTTCTGTAAAAATTATGTGTTAGTACCAAAAATGTGGGGAAGTTTACCATTGGCAAATTTAGTTAGTTGCATTAGAAAGCCACTATACCAAAGAAACTTCTTCTAAAAAAAAAAAAAAATATTGGTTCACATTGCATTAGGGAGATCAAGAAACAGACATATTAATCTCTAGACAGCTATGTAATGCAGGAAAGAGAAAGCTAGAGGTTTGGGGGTTTTTGCACATACACTTGTGTGTGCTTTGTAGCCATATCAAGAAAAAAATCATCTTCTACTGCTATACTAAAAATAAAATATTGGACTGAAAGCTTCACATGAGAAACAAACACTAATAAACCCTTCTGGAAGTTTAACACACCATCTGAGCAGAACCAGGCAATCACGCTACCTCCACCACTGCTATCCCATCAACTACCGATCGCAATTGGCCTATTTCTTTAGGTTAGTTGATTTTTTAATAGGACAAAAGCAGAAAGGTTAAAGCAAGGATCCCAACGCAAGCCACAAGGGTAAAAAGCCATAAGCAAAAAAAAACTCTGTATCACCAAGCCCTTCTTTCCCTTCCCATTCACCACTGGAGACCCAGTTTCTGCCAGTCGCATCTTACCTTCTTCAGAAGTTACAAAGAGTTACAAACAGACCCACTCTTTCGGTGCTTGTAACACACTCCTTGCTTGATCGCTCAGCTGAATAAGGCCATTGTAGTCATCAGGTGCATACTACAGTACAAGTGTGATATATGATAATCAGCAAGAGAGGAACAGTTCTGGTACAGCAAGCCACACAGTCGATCATTTGCAACCATAATTAAGAGCATCAGCTATAACAACTGGCAGGAGACAGTGAATTTGACAGATACTATTTTTATGCAAGATAAAAAAAAAAAAAACCACATCAACTGAATTACCGGTTGTAGAAATAGATTTAAAGTAAACGCATGCGGGGAATATTCTAAACTGTGTATTTCAACTGTTTCTTATCAAGGGAAATAGTTTAGACCATGAAGTGCTCCTTTTTTCCTTCTACTCATGAGATGGCAGCATCAGGTAACAAAACTCTTAAATTTGCATAATCATGCTTCCAGTTATGACTCTCACTGGGACAGATGAGCATCTTCCAGCATGCATACTGAAGTGGGGGGTTAGAAGCAGCATACAGATCTAATCAGGTCTTTTATGGAGTCATGGAAATAAACTGCAGCTTCCCCAGGGCTGAGTGATAAACACTTCGGCTGCATACAGTAGACTTACATAAACTATACCAGTGTAGTTAAAGAAAAACAATGTCCCAGCATGAATGCACTTAGAAGATGAAATGGCATTTATACTAGTATAGTATAGTATATTTCCATATAAGAAAAAGAAATAAACTATACAGTGTAACTGCATCATAGGTTTGTAGTAGAAGAATATTAAAACAAAAATAGTGACTGTACTGTACAGTCACACCAACGAACTAAACCAAAAAACCCCATATGTGGATCGGATCTAAAATATTTGAGATCCTGAATCTGAACAGTAATCACACATACTATTGGAGGGCCCAGTACAAATACGAAATCTGTAGTCAGTAAATAGATTTTGGGGAATATGAAACATTGTTTTGTATCCATCTCATAATCTTTCCAAAATTACATATCCTGGAAAGGGACTGGGCATACTTGCACATGCTACAAAGACTACTGGAGTGGCTCCTGTAATCCAGAAGACAAAATGTTTAGCATAACCCAAGTTATAGAATACCCTTTCAGTGGCAAAAAGAGTTTCCCGTCTCCCCCAAAATGGCTGTTTTGCACTAACATTTTAGAGTATTGCCAAATGCACACAATGTAGATATACTACGCTGCCTTCCTTTGATATTCCTATAATACAAAAAGTCTCCTGCCAGCATAGGGAGAAAAAGGTATTATATTTGGGCATACAGGACACATTGTATCTATCCAAAGTGAAGTTGAAAAGAAAAAAAACCAACCATCACAGTATACACCTTCCACAGAGAACAATAACCAAGAGCCCAGAGAATGTAAAAGAAAAGAACCTCCCAGAATTTTTACTACTGAATTCTAGCCACCTTCACACATCTAGACCCATGCCATTAAGTAAAAGACAAATACAAGAAGTATTTTCTAGATAGTCCCTGCCAGGGCAACCAGACCGTGCAAATATTAGATTTATCAGTTCCCAGACCTGCCCTTGAAACAAATCTACAAAATGTAAGTTTACTCTTTGGAAGGAATGTCTCAAGATAGTACATACTTTAGATTATCAGTAGATGTACACTAGGTAAAGGGCTATAGTCTCTTGTGAGTGACAGTGTTTGAAGTGGTTACATTTGAAACGTGTAAACAATGAGGAAAACGTGAAAGTGGGAAAACTACCCTGTACAGAAATGTCAAAGTTGTCAGAGCTTAGGCCTAGGCCTAAAGAAAGAGAGAAAGAAAGAAAAAGAATCAAAATACCTAGCAATAGAAGCAAATGCTAATCACAAGAAAGATAGGTAAGAGACTGCAGTTAATTAAAACAGAAGTTGTGGAACAGTAAATTCTTCAAACTTACAGATTTCAAAAAGCAGTACTGCAAACCAAGCTAGGAAGTGAAGTGGGGGAATTCTTATTCCCCGAGAATGAAATGGAAACTACCCTCACTTGCCTGAGGAAGTACATGGTCATGAATACTTCTGATTCTGTCTGCATTTCAGAAACGCATAAGAACAAAACAGAAACATCCAATCATGCAGGATAAACTGTAAATCCAAGGGTGAACCTATAAACTATCATCTCATTCCTACCTTCCTTGCTTCTCTGAACTGAAGCACAACCTCTTTCCTCAGAGCTGCTGCCTTCTCCCCTCCTCTGTTTGAGCTCACAGCTCTTGCGGGGTTGGACTTCCCTTCCAACCTAAAAGATTCTGTGATCCTTTCTCACCCAGGGGTTTCAACTCACTCTCAGTGTGTCAACAGTAGCATTAAAATATAGTGGTCTACTGGAAGGACACAGTAGCAAATCTTGCTTTTTAAGCCATTAAACTACGAAACATGATCTCTATCAAAGTTTGCTTTCATCTCATCCTACTAAATTGGATACTCTCACATGCTCATAGATGATGAACAGGGGAGACCTATTTCCTAGAATGACTAAAAGAGAATGCAGAAATAAATTCAGACAATAAAGCAATTTCTCTTTTCCCCTTGAAGTAGCTGTCAAGAAGTCTAGCTTAGTCTAGTAAGGAAGATCACACAGAATACCATTGTTAAATTACAAGCTCCATTAGAAAAGTCAGCCTCAGAGTTAAGGAGATGAAGCTATGGTTCTCAGCATACACTCTGGTGCTATACTGACTTCTTCCAGTGATCAGAGATGGGAGCTAGGATCAAGAAAAGATGGAAACTAAATGTGGAAACCAGGTATGGGACAAGGTTTGCATTTGGAACCCAACCTAGGAGAAAGAAGCAAAACAGAAGCTTTGCAAGTGGTTACCAAATAAGATTCTGGGGTCAACGATTAGCTCTATGGCAGGCCGCAAGATGGCAGGAAAAATATACATATATACTTGGGGAAAAAAACTGCAGCTGACTGGAACAGAGATTACATTGAAGACTGAAGAATGGTGTTTGCTGTTCCCTACATTGTTCTTGTTGTTAGTCCCCTGTGACAGTGAGGGCTTGTATAGCTTAAGACATGTCTGTTGTTAATGACAAAATGACATTTTTTGAAGGACATGTTGCTTCTTTACAGAATCAGCCGTTTACCTTATAAGCATAAGGTGAATACCTTTCTAGGTATTAACATTTGAAATGGCAGCGATATTTCAACTCATATATATTAAATAATACTTCTTATAATAATAAATAACATATTACAATAGACTATACAATAATAATAAGTGACAGATGTATATTAAATAGCACTAACTCCTCTCTCCTAAAGGAGATGACCATTTCTGACCAACAGTTACACCCAGTATGGTAGCATCTCCCAGACAGACTATCTGCTGTGCTTACTACAGTGCAAAACTTTTTCAGATGATCAGAATCGGAAATAGACTGATTAATAAAGAGGTAGTATACTGCACTCTCTCCTCATACTTTTTTTCTTTTTTTTCTTCAAGCTATTTTATTTCTTTCAGGAATACCTGCTACATTGAGAGGAATATGGGACTGTCCTTGTCCCCTCACAGACTGTGCACAGATTTAACCAGGTCACTAACCAGCGAGACATTGATTTCCATTTCATTTTTGCAGTTCCTACAGTGGACATTCAAAGATCAGTCTAAAAAGGCATACGCAAAGCAATCGAGGGGAAAAAAATCCAGTGCTAAAACAAAATTAAAATTGAAAAGTATATTTAGACATGCCCCAACTGGGAAAAAAAACAAGGGGAAAATGAAAGCTAAAAATAGTTCCCACCTGGAAAGGAAAATATCATAGACAAGATGGCCTCTTCAGGATTGCAGCTGCAATTCTAGCCTAACCTCCCGATAAACTCTATCACTGAACAGTTCCCAAAGGGAAGAAATCCATCTCTCAGACTTTGGAAAGAAGTCTAGATATAGCAAGTCTGGAACGTAGAATCTGATTTAATGACTAGGTAACTGTAACCTTTGGCACAAGAGTCAGGAGAAATACCCTAAACTGCCTTTGCCACTGAAGTATATCAATTGTACCTTAAAGAGTGCCAGCACAAGCACTGGCAATCACCTGAATGCTCTGTGGAACAGATACCGCCTGAGTGTTTTGTGGAAAAGATAGTGAAATATGTAACGCCCGTTCCCAAAAATACAGCTTGAAGATGGTGCCACTTAGTCTCTTGCTTCAAGCATGGGAGGCAACAGACAGAAACAGTAACCACTAATTTACTAGATCCAGTCTCACAGATGCTTTCTCCACACAGGCAACATTTCCAGGTGAAAGATAAAATTAGGAATAAAGCAAAACAAACAGCATACTCTATTCCGAGTGCATGGGGGCAAGCATATAATAATGTCTATATTGCCAGATGACTTCAAATACCAGTAAGTGGGAATTCTTCCTCTACCACATCCTCT